CCCGCGGGCCTCCCCAGGGCCAGGGCCTGCGGCTGTCCCGGAGACGGGGCGTCGGGGCGCGAGCAGGTCTAGCGCCTGGGAAGGGGAAGCGGGGTGGCCGGGCGGCAGGAGCGGGGGCAGCTTCCCGGCGAGGAGACGGCGGAGCGGGCGGGGCTCCTGCTTCCTTCTCAGCGGCCTTGAATTCTCTGGCCGCGGCCTCGCGGGGGGTGGTGGGGGGCGGGCGAGGCGGACCCTGCGGGTGAGGCCAGGCCACTGGCCATGCGCAGGAGCCGCCGGGCCCGCGGGGAAGGGCTGGGCGCGGACGCGGGGGGGGGGTGCTCTGGGGCTCATTGTGGGCCTGGAGGTGCACACGGGCGGGCCCGTCCCTGAGGGATACCCCGCGGCCGCGTCCTCGCTCCCGGCTCCTCGTGGGCCCTGAGGGTTTAGGGTGGAGTTTGGGGCGCACGGTGTAAACTTTCCGGGCTGAGCCCCTCCCGCCCCAGGCCCAGCAGCGAGAGGGCAGAGCGGGTGCCCGGGTGTGCGCAGCTGGTGGGGGGGGGGGGTCCCTGCTTCCGCCCCAAGGGGAAGCCCCACCTCACCCCAGTGTGACCGGAGGCGGGAGCGCAGGTGCCGCGGAGAGTATCAGGGTGTCGCGGGCGGCGCCTCCTCGGCCGCTGACTCCAAATGCTGGGGTCTGTGTCTTTGGGGAGCGTCTCCCCTTCTCCCTCTGTCGGGTGTTAGGCCTGCAGAGTCCTGTCTCCTGTAATCTCCCCCTGTCAGGGAGCCCCTGAGGGCAGCGGACTCAACTTTAGCCTACGCCTCCAAAGAAAGGGCTGGAGAAACAGCCGCTCCCGAGGCCACACGGTTCTGCGCGCCCGAGAGGGTGTGGGGGCGCAGAGCAGAGCCACAAAGACAGTCGCAGCCCTGGAGGACCCCCTGGCGTCTGTGCCTTCACGCGAGGTCCCCCGGCCCCATCTTTCAAGGCCCTTCCTGCACACTTCACCCCTGCTCTGGTCCTCCCTCCTCCTCCCCGCTCCCCTCACTGCACCCCCAAGGCCCTCCCTGTCCCCTATGTCACGAACTGAAAGAGCAGCTGATTCGCGGGCCCCACTTCCAAGTGGGGACCCTCCTATCTTTGGATGTCTCAGCTGGCGCGGCTCCTCTCCCCAACAGTGCAGACAACTTTGACTTTGGGGGTCTGGGGGCCTTGGTGGAGATGATGGTGGGTACCTGAGGCTGCTGGTACCCAAAACTCAGCCCTGACCCCGAGCACAGCGTTGCCCTCTTCTCTGGGGGCTCTGCCCTGTACCCCCCTCCCAGATGTGTCAACCACTGTTTCCTGACCCCCCTTTCTTCTAGTGAAGTCCCAGTAGCTCTGTGAGTGCTCCCGGAGTCCAGAGCTGCCCCATCTCTGCCAGACCCTGCATGGGCGGCAGCCTCTCGCCGGGAGCCAAGACCTTCTCGCAGGGGAGCTGCTCCTTTTGGCAGAAGCTGCATAGCCGCAGGGCGGCGAGTCTGAGAACCCGAGGGACCGGGTCGTGCTGGGTAAGAGTGGGAAGGGGAACCGGGCCTGGAACCGGGCGCAGCGTCAGGTCACTGGGAAGGGATACGGAGTGCCCCCCAAAGCAGGATGGCGGGAGATCTGTAGAATTGTTGTGATCTTTATAAAAACCTTTTCCTGGACCTCCCCTGCTGGCGCAGCGGTTGAGCGCTGGGCTGCGAAGCTGCCTGCGGCCTTTGCAGCACCGGTTCCATCCCCGGCCGCTGGCGAGGGTCCCACATGGCACTGCCCCCCTCAGCAGTGTACTTCCGTCCTTCTGCCTGCTGTTCCCCGGCTCTGGCTCTGGTGAATTCTCTCACCCTCCGCGCTTCTGACTGTACCCAGTGCTTGAATAAACAAACAAACAAACAAACCCTTTTCCTACCCTGTACCTTCAGCTGGATCCATTTCTCCTTTTGTCTGAAAACGCTCATATAATCGATCCTGTGATGTATTTTCTGTTTCAGGCTAATTAACAGCACCCCTGATGTTGACAAAGCTTCCAGGGTGACCAGGAAGTTCGGGTAAGCGACACTTAGATGTGAGAGCTTTGATACAACACATAAATGAAAAATGAATCCGTGTTAATAAAAACCATGATCAATGTTGTAGTTGCCTCTGAAGATAATCTAATTCGCGGCTTCACCACACAAGTATCTTCTCATTTGGAGAGAAATACTTTATCCCAAAACTGCAATGAAATAAAATAAATTGCATAGAGGTAGTGAGTCCCCCGACATGTTACTTTTTCCTATTATGGAACATTCATAAAACAGAGCATTAAAATAAACCCACCTTAGTGTTATTTTTCCAAAAAGACACATTAGATGTGTTGGGGGAAGGTGAAGAAAGAATATACCCAAGAGAAATCATGTTTATCATGTTATAGTGTACACGTTGTTATAATAAGGCCACTGTGGAGCTACCACAAATGTTCACTTGAATGTTTTAATGTCACCGGCTTTCCTACTGCCTGTGGGGTCTCCACTGAATGAACCGGGGTTTGAGCTCTAGGTGAGAAAGTGAAAGCCACAGTTGAACTATCAACTATGATCTCTGCCAGTACACTGGACTTATACTGACCTGTGACAGCTTGAGCTGGACATAGGAATTCCATTCTATTCTGTTCTATTTTTTTTTCTTTTTGTAAAGGCAAGGAACTAGTCACAGGGAGGAGCTTTTGGTTATATAAAATTTGGTTTTATGAAATATCATGGCTCCATTCATTATTTTGTCCTGCTCCTCCCATAGGTGTAGACAACTTTCAGGACTCTTGTATTTGGAAACTGGAAGGGCCCAGACTTTGAAGTAGTGTCTTGTTTTCACTTTTATTTTTAATTGAAGCTATATACAGCTGTGGCTTAAACAGAATAAATTTCTAAATTTGAAAATGAAGAAAAGAGGCAAAAGATGTTTATTTGGGTTTAAAAGCTAGCCAGAGCACAGGTTCAGGCTAGAAACCTAAACCCCCTCACTAAAAAAAATGAGGTGACCTTGACATTAACTCCCAATGCTGCTGCTCTGCCCTCGCCTGCTTGACTAGCAGGTGGCCATGTTTCATCCTAAAATGTTTTTCTGTAGTCACAATGGAATTCTTAAGACTTTTTAAAAAGTACTTTTCCCCTGCCAAGGAGCAAGGAGATAATTTTACCAATGGAGCTTTTATCAGCTTCTGTTACTGGTCCTGATAATGATAGAGAGTTGTGTATATTATAGAAAATGTGAAGAGTAGAATAAAATACGATGAACAGTATCAAAAAGTACTCTTATGACTTAGCATGTTTCCTTCCTACTTTTTTCCCTAATATTTGCAATTATGAAATAGAATGCCTGTGTAGAAGGTAGGTAGTCGCTTGAGAATTATAAAATGAGCTTCCATTAAATAGGTCAAGGAATGTAAAGTCACATCATATCATAATCTTCCTCCATAGGGAAGCCCCTATATGGCTGTCACTAATTTTTTTCTTTGCTCTTCACTACATATCCTGGTATGTATCATTAAAATGTAATTTTAATTTTGTCTGGTATTTAATATTTAAATTAATCATGTTCTGTTTCTGTCTTGAAAATCACTCAACAGTATGAAGGCAAGACTAGTCCACATTTTGGATGCAGCTAGACTGTTTCTTTTTACTGCTGTACAACAGTCCACTCAATGCAGTTGTTTACATTGTTTTCTACTCACACGTAAGGGGTAAGGAGAGGATGTTTCATTAATATTTTTCTTCTGTAGTGGAATGACATTGTAACAGGGTGGTCCCCACGAAAGGGGGAGGTTCCCTGCCCCTTTCCTGGGGACCACCCTGTTACAACATCATTGCTAGAATTTTCCACTTTCAACATTTAACACTAATATAAGTACTTTCCACATCATTATTCAGTGTTATTGTATCCAGTTTTTACAATTCATTTTTGTATATATTGGGGGGTTTTATTTAGTTTCAAATCACTTTACTGCAAATAAAGTGTTGAACATTTTTACACAAAGATTTTTTATCTTAATTTGAAAACATTTCCTTAGGTCATTTCCAAAAACGAAATTATTTCCATTGAAAATACAAGTATTTTAAATTCAAAGTTCCCTGCAGAGGGGTTGTGAACTTATTTCTCAGGAATAGTGAGGACAGATTTCCTCTCCTGCCATCATTTGTTCTGTCCCCTTTTCCTGGTGAAGCCTCCTGCCCTCCACCCTGCTTCCTGGCGCAGTCCTCACTTGTCTCAGCTCCCGCCATTGTGCGCCGTTGTGCGGCACCAGGAACGGAGCTTTCAGTCCTCTGGCAGTTCCCTCATCAGCCCTTTGTTGTATTGGCCCTTTAAGCGCGCCCTCGGCAGTTACGTCATCACTCTGAGACTCCCAGGATGCACTAGGCGGAACGTGAGAGGCCACTCCAAGAGCGGCTCCCAGGGGGCATAGTAAAGGAGCTAGACGAGCGCGTGTCGCCGCCTTGTGGACTGGGGTGGTATCGTGGGAAAATCGAGGCCAGAAACGCTAGCGGGACCGGAAGTGGCCGCGCCAAGAGCGGCTCCCGGCAGCAAAATAAAGGCGCAATACGAGCGAGTGTCGCCGCCTTGTGGACTGGGGTGGTATCGTGGGAAAATCGAGGCCAGAAACGCGAGCGGGACCAGAAGTGGCCGCGCCAAGAGCGGCTCCCGGCAGCAAAATAAAGGCGCAATACGAGCGAGTTTCGCCGCCTTGTGGACTGGGGTGGTATCGTGGGAAAATCGAGGCCAGAAACGCGAGCGGGACCGGAAGTGGCCGCGCCAAGAGTGGCTCCTGGCGGCAAAATAAATGGGCAAGACGAGCGAGTGTCGCTGCCTTGTGGACCTGGGTGGTATCATGGGAAAGTCGCAGCCCAAAATGCCAGCCTGACCGGAAGTGGCCGCGCAGAGCGGGTCCCAGCTGTGTAATGAAGGCGCGGATGGAGCGGTTGTCGTCGCCTTGTGGCTTCGAGGGATAATGTGGGGGAAACACAGAGTAATGATGGCGGTGGGATGGGTAAGGTAAAGCGCCAGGAGGGGCGAGAAAGGTGGAGAGTAAGGCGGGAAACGGGAGGAGGAACGAGGTAAAGGGGCCAAGCACAGAATAACATACGGGCTGGACTGTGACTAAGATGCAGAGAAGTGTTTCAGGGCAATGGAAAGGGCGGTGAGGACCATGTGAAAAATAACGGGGGAGGGCGCCGCCTGGTGGCCATCAGTAGCGAGACAGCAAATCCCTGACAAGTGGCCAAAGGGGAAGGCCCAGGTGGCCAAGCTCGGGCACCACGAGGGGGGCCTGTGGGGGCAGAGGCAAGTGGGGAACAGCCACGACAGCCCACGGGGAAGGGGCAGGCCCTGCGCAGAGGCAGGAGCAGCAGAGCACGGTGTGAATTTGTGTCCAGAGCCTTGGAGAGGAAAACCGGATAGACTAAAATGTTAGTGAGACTAGGAAATCTGTCCTCACGATTCCTGAGAAATAAGTTCACAAGCCCTCTGCAGGGAACTTTGAATTTAAAATACTTACATTTTCAATGGAAATAGTAATTTTATTTTTGGAAATGACATAAGGAAATGTTTTCAAATTCAAATAAAAATTTTATGTGTAAAAATGTTCAGCAACACTTTATTTACAGTAAAATGATTTGAAACTATCTAAATAAAAACCCCCATATATAAAAAAAATGAAATGCAAAGACTAGATAGGTACAGTAACACTGAAGTTTCTAATGCTGTGGAGAGTAATTACATTGCAGTGTTAAGTGATGAACTAGAATATAAAATTTTAGCCATGATGTAAGCATAGTCTCCTTAACCCTTATGTGTGAGCAGAACACAAGGTAAACAACTGTACATCAAGTGGACCCCCCTGGACCCTCGACCACCCCCCCCCGGCCCCTACCCCCATTGCCTGTACCTTATTTGCAGCGGCGCTGCTCCTGTTGCTCCTGGTCTCGTCGCCCTCTGCCGCAGCCTTTATAGTCCCACCACGCCCCCAGCTCAGCTGAGCCACGTCAGCACGCCCCCCCCCTTCCCCCAGGTGCTCACCCTCAGGCAGCCGATGCAAAGCCCACACTCCCAAAGGCCCCCAGTTTTCCCAGCTGCAGGTTTGCCACAAAAGCGTTCGGGGCAAACCCCAAAAGGAAGCGATCTTCCCGTACCCCTCCTTCCACCCCGCCATTTGCTGTCTCTGGACAGTCCCCACCTGGTTTCCCTTGGCCACTGAACCCTGCAGCCACGACCCACACAGGTGAGCGGCGCGACTGAGCACAATCACGACAGACACAGCAGAAACCCCCTCCTGCCAGCCAGGGCAGCTCCTTTGCAAGACCCCCCCATGATCGCTCTCGACTGCCCCCCGCAGCTCCGCTCCCTCCAGGGGGAACCACTGCTCAGTCTAGGCGGGCTCCGCCATCCCAAGCAGGGGCGTCTGGCTCGCGGACCTCTCGCGGTCTCAGCACAAGCCACACCCCACCCTCTACCCCCAGCTGTGCGCACTCAGGTCTGAGACGCTTGGGGGGAACGGAACAGCCCTGCTCCGGGGGTGCTCACTGCCCTCCTCACCGCACCCGGCGCTCATCGCCGCCGCTGCCTGGCGGCCCCTGCGCTCAACAGCTCCTTCGCAAGCCCCACTCCCCAGGATCGCGCTCGACTGCCCCCCACAGCTCCGCTCCCTCCAGGGGGAACCGCTGCTCAGCCTTGGCAGACGCCGCCGTCCCAGGCAGGGGCGTCGGGCTCGCGAGCCTTCTCCCGCGTGCGGTCTCAGCGCCAGCCACCCCCACGCCCCAGCCCCAGCCCCAGTCGTGCGCGCTGTGAGGGCTGAGACCCTCAGCTCTCTCGGGGGGAACCGGCCAGCCCCAGGGGTAGTCACTGCCGTCCCGCCGCTCCAGGTCTCACTACCGCCCCTGCGCTCAGGCCAGCCCCTCGCCCGCGGGCACCGCCTGCCCGGGGAGAGCGCGCTCCCCGCGGGGCGCTCCGGCCCCTCCCCGCCGCGGGCTCCCCACAGGCCCGGGCCCCGCCCGCCCCCTGAGGGTCCTCGGCCCCGGCCCTCGCTCTCCAGCCGGCGGGCCTCGCCCACAGGTGCCGGGAGGAGGCGCCGCTGCTCCGCGAGCATCCGCGGCTGCGTCCCGCACGTTCGGGGCCCCAGACCTCGGCGGGCGCCGCTTTTGGCGCGTCTGGGCGGCTTTTTGAGACTCTCCCGCCCGCTGCGGAGAACCGCCCCCCAGGCCGCTGAAGGCCACCCCGACTCTCCTCTCCGGGGGCACAGAGGATCCCCTCGCTCCCCGACCAGGGCACCGCGGAGAAGGCGTCCCCCGCCCTCGCCCCGTGGCGTGCTCGGGGGTCCCCGTCGTCCGTGGCGGGGGCCCCGTCAGCGCCCGGCGAGCAGACGGGGCGTCGGGCTCCTGCTCCCCCGCCGCTGCGTCTACGGCTCCGGGTCCTGGGCCGGCCCCGCCGGCAGCTCGCCCCCCTCCCCTCCAGTCTCCGGCGCAGCTCCCGGGCCGCGTCTGCCTCCCGGGGGTCCGCGGCGCCTCCAGGCTCGTCTTCCCGCCGCGGGCAGCGCTTCGAGGGACGCTCACCCCGGACCTGCTCCGAGCGGGGCCCGAGTCCGTCGGCGGCCCCCGCCGTGCGCACCGTCCTCCCGCGGCGCGGGGTCGGGGGCCGCAGAGAGGAGCGCGCCCCCCCGCTCCCCCCCAGGTCCTCGGGAGCCGCGTTGCCCTCGGAGGCGGGTCCTGCCGCCCGGGCCGGCCGTGGGGCGGCTCCGGGGCTCCGGGCACACGGGCAGAGGGTCCTGGGGCTCCGGGGGCTGGCGTGGGCCTTTCGCGTCCCCCCCGACAGCGCAGCCGGGCGTCCGGGGCAGGCGGGCAGGAGGCCCCGGGGAGGCTCGCGGCCCCGGTGAAGCCAGACTCTCCGGGCTCTCTGCGCGGGGGACCGGGGACCGAGGGGCCGGGGATCCGGAGCTGAGGTGGGGGGTCTACAGGGCTGGCGGGGGGATCTTCAGCCCTGGGGGCATCTTGACTCTCTGGGCGCTCTCCGGCGTTCCCGCGGGGCCTCCCGTCCCGGCCGCTGCGGCGCGTCCTCTCCCGCGGCCGCTCCCGCTGGGGCCCCAGCCCGCCCGGCCGCGGAGGCGCCGCCCTACACGCTCCGCCCCGGCTCCCCGGGTGCGCCCCGCGCCGCGCCCAGGGCCCAGGTGCTGTCGCGGAGCCCCCGGCGCCCGAGCCGCAGCGGCTGCCTGGACGCCACAGACCCCCGCTCTGGCCCCGAGCCCCCCACCGTGCGCGCCCCGGATCTGCTAGGGGCCGCCCCGCAAAGGATCGCAGCGTCTTGTGTGTTTCGGGAGAGACGCTGGAAAAGGAACTGACGCTCCGGTGGCTGCGAGCGCGCGGGGGCTTTCCCGGCAGCTCGGGGGCTCCCCAGGGCGCTCTCGGAGCCCGCCTCGCCGCCCAGTGAACCGCGCACGCAGCACCCGCGGGTCCTCAGCGCAGTCCTCCATTCTGGTTTCACCAAAATAGCCCAGGAACCCAGCACATCGCCCCCCAAAATAAATCATCTTGGTTCCCATGTGGAATCCAATCCCCCGGCCCATTTCAACTGTCAACACCTGCTCCCCCTGGGTGAGCGCATCTGCTTCCCTCGGATCGGCTTTTCTCTTTGGCAACTGTTCCTGACAAGCTCCTCCTTTTCACAACCATGACGGGTTCAGTGTGTGCCCCCGCCGGCGCTGTGTGTGTGGGGGGGTAGGGATTGGGGGGATACTTTACTTTTTTTCCCAAGAGTTATTTATTGTGTATACAAGCACTGGGGTGTAGACACCAGGTGGTGGGGGGTTGTAGAGGAGGCACCAGAGAGAGTGGCGGTCAGAACAGGCGGATCTACTGAAATACCCCGGTGAGGGGAGCAGTGGGGAGACAGGAGAGGTCTGCCGCCCCCTTATGCGCTGCTCCTGGCCGGCGGGGGATCCCTCTCTTGCTGCAGTGGCTGGCAAGAGCTTGATGGCGCTTTCTTTAACCCCTGCGCCCCTAGGGAGGCTCCGTGGGGGCCTTTTCTGCTTCTCTCTTATGCCTTGGATTGCATGTCTGTGCGTGTATTTATTTGTTTGTTTGTTTGTTTGTTTGTTTGTTTCCCTCATGGCTGCTGATCACTTTGTTTCCCCAGACTTAGGGCTGACTTCCTAGGTGGTGTTCCACCCAAGGGAAAATCAAATTACCATTTCTCTGGCGGGTTATCCAATCACCATGACTAAAACAGGGCGGTATTTCAGGTATTTCAGCTTTTATTGCACCGTCCGCGCCCCCCTTCCCCCCCATACACACACAGGCCCTATTAACTTCCGCGCTGACAATAACCACATTTTCCGTGTGGGACTTTTGCACGGGAGGTTCCCTCTGCTTGAAGCGCCCACTGTGTCACTTCATCCACGTCATTGTCAAGTCATCGCTCCTCAGAGACCCCCCGACCCAGGACCACTCTGTAATAGCACCCCGAAACCTCAATCTATTTTCCCGATTTCCTTCTCAATACCTGTTAGTCCCTGACATTTTTCCCTTTGGCCTGTCCGCTCTCCCCTTTCCTCTGACCCTCAGCAGCCTCGCTCGCTTCTTAAAGTCCCTTCTTTTTTCTAGGAATTTTACTTTTTTCCCCTCACCCGCTAAGTCAACGGAGGGTATTTGTCTTTGTCATTCTCACTTGCTCGCCAACAAAGTGTTGGAGGGGCCTCCCCGGTGGCGCAGCGGTTAAGCGCTGGGCTGCGAAGCTGCCCGCAGCCTCTGCAGCGACAGTTCAATCCCCGGCCCCCGGCGAGGGTCCCACTTGGCGCACAGACCTCTCTTGCAGTGCATTTCGTCGGTCTGCCTGTTCCGTTCCCGGCTCTGTCTCTGGTGAATTCTCTCACCCTCCCGCGCTTCTTGTATAAATCAATAAATAAATCTTTAAAATAAAGCAAAGTGTTCACAAAAATCTGCAAAGAGCTGATGAAACTCAACAACAACAAAGAAAATAACCCAGTCAAAAAATGGGCAGAAGAGCTGAAAAGAAACTTCTCTGAAGAGGAAATGCAAATGGCCAATAGACATATGAAAAAATGTTCAACATCACTTGTAATCAGGGAAATGCAAATCAAAACTACCATGAGATACCATCTTACACCAGTGAGAATGGCACATATTAAAAAAACTAGCAACAACAAATGTTGGCGAGGACGTGGAGAAAAAGGAACTCTTGTGCACTGTTGGTAGGAGTGCAAACTGGTCCAACCACTATGGAGAGCTGTGTGGAGATTTCTGGACCTACTAAACATAGAGCTTCCATATGATCCAGCAATTCCACTCCTAGGTATTTACCCAAAGGACACAGAAACATCAATTCCAAAGAGCACCTGCACCCCTATGTTTATAGCAGCACTATTTATAATAGCTAAGCTTTGGAAACAGCCCAAATGCCCAAAAATAGATGACTGGATCAAGAAGATGTGGTACATATATACCATGGAATATTACTCAGCATTCAAAAAAGATAAACACATGCAATTTGCAGCAACATGGATGGCGCTGGAAGGGATCATGCTCAGCGAAATAAGCCAAAAAGAAAAAGAAAAATACCGGATGGTCTCACTCATAGCAGGAATCTAGAAAACTTAAATAAGGGATCAGGAAAAAGAATAACTATAAGAAAGTGAAAATCAAAATCAACAAAAAACTATGAACCAGAGACACTTTTTGGGGGGGTGGGGGCCGGGAGGGGAGGGATTGGGGTCAGAATGGGGCATGTGCAGTTGTATGGGGGAATATAAAAATAAAATTTATTATTTAATAAAAAAAATAAAGCAAAGTGTTGGAGGGCAAGGTGAGCACACCCCATCACCCCCAAACCTGCCCATTCTCAATAGGTCTTGGCATCTAGCGCATCGGGACGAGACATCCGCTGGTGCGTGAGGCCTTTGTGAAAAGGAACTTTACTACAATGAGTGTGCAGTGAAGAAAATGAACAGATACGGTTTGCAAAGGCAGCACCCAGAGTTCCCTGTCCCCCCCCCCCCCGTGGCAAAAGGCCCAGACCAATAGAGTTGTCCCAAAGCAGGGCCACGGAAGCCCGAGAGCTGCCCCAAGTAAGGAAAGGGTCCAAAAGAGCCAGAAACCCCCACCCTGGGCCCCGGGGGCAGAGGTCACTCCATCCACGATATGGCACCCCCTCCTGTGCTTCTGGGCTGGACTCCTTGTTTCCACACAGCGTCTGCTGTCCCCGGCCTGCCCGCCGCTGCATCTTGGGCATTGTGGCCTGTTCGCGCCTGGGCCCCCAGCACTCGGCTCCTGTCCTGGCGTCACTGTGTCCTTCCTGCAGTCAGGGTGGCCGAGCTGCAGCGGCGGGTTCTCTTCTCTGAGAAGTACCCACGGGGCGCCTTTGCTCGATGTGTATCGGGGTCATTGGCTTCATTGCTCTTGTGTGTGCGTGTCTGTGTCAGGCTGCAGATGAAGCCCTGGTCAGACACAAGGTGTGTGCGAACACTTTATCCCTTCCTGGGGGTTGCCTTTGTGTGTGCTTGATTTTTTGGCAAGATTTATTTCTTTATGCATACCAGAGCTGGGGTGCAGACCAGAGGTGTGGGGGGTGAGAGGACTCACCAGAGGCAGAGTGGGGAGCAGAACAGGCAGATCCACTGAAATACACGGCTGAGGGGAGCAGCAGGGTGGCGGGAGAGGTCAGCTGAGCCATGTGGGTAGCTCCCTGGCCTGCAGGGGATCAAACTCACACCGCAGTGGCTGGGGAGAGCTTTACAGCACTGTCTATAGCCCCTGCGCCACCAGGGAGGTCCGCTTTTTAAGTTTGCATGGATCTCATGTTTAGTTTCTCTTTGGACAAAGAGAGAAGGGAGGGGTGAAGCTAGAAAATGTGCTGCATCAGTGGTGGTGTGAGGGGTCTGGAGTCTGCCCCCAGGCACTTCTCAGATGCAGGCAACTGTGGCACCATCACAGAAATCGTGGCCTCTGTCTTACCCTCAAGGCAGGTTCTGAGCAGCTTCTGTGGTGCCTTGTCCTGCACCGGTCCTTGGCCTCTGGGTGGGTGGGTGGGTGAGTGGGCAGGCATTCCCGGCCACACCTCATGGCACAGCCTGGCCCGGAGCGATCCGGCTCAGTGTGGATTCGAAAGACACCTCCTAAGTTTGGGCTCTGACCACTTGCGTTCAGACCCAGGCACCTGGCAGTTGTGACCTGGGGCAGGAGAGCAGAGCTGCAGCTCACAAGATGGCCGCCGAGCAGGCCTCTCGGGGTTCGCAGAGTCCTGGCCACCAGCCCCCTGGCCTGCGCCTCGTTCGGCCTCTGGTGGTCTCAGCTCGCCTCCTGCATCCAAGCTGACCAAATTTTCAGACGTGGTGTCCAATCTGTTTTTTGTTTCCTTTATGATAGCTACTTTACTTAATAAAAATAGTGATTCTGCTTGTCATGGTGACAACTTCGTGTTTAAAGATGGATTTGTTGATTACGTTTATATAATTATGATTACCAAGTTACTTAAGTAAAGAACAGTTAACTCAATTATTTTGCAGTGTAGAACAGGGTTCTCTTCCAAATCGGGTGTTTCCACTTTGTGTAGAATTTTACATTCTTTTCCATTTGGTTTTAAGTGTCTCCATGGTACGGAAGGGCCTCAGCTTCCCTCCTCCGCCAATAAAAGGAAACAGAGTTTGAGAAAAGGAAAGAGGTTGTTTTTGTAGACAAAGGAGGAGGGCAGCCGACTCATGTCAGAAAGACCACCGTCCTCTTGGGCAGAGGGCAGGGGTCTTTGTATAATCAGGAGAAGAGGGGAAGATGGGCCAGGGTCTGCAAAGTAGGGGGGGGGGTCGGCACCAGTTTGCCTTTTTACCAGCACTGCTGTTTAATGCCCTTCTTGGAATGCGAGAAGACAGACCTGTCACACCAGGGGGAAATTGCAAGGAACACGGGAAAGACAAACTGGTTCGTGCTTATGTGAGAGACCAGCCGTCTGCCCCTGCACCACGGGCCCAGCCGGAAGGACGGGCACGGGAAAGAGAAGGAGAGCCCGGCCAGGTTTCTCACAGGCAGGGAACTCTATTGCGCCCCCAGGGGAGGTTCACGGACCCAAGGTGGGGGTCAGTGAAGTCGCGCCCCTTGTCAGGGAGCCATGTCCTCTATAGGGTGAGGAAAGTTTAGCGGGAAACTGGGTTTGCAGGGCAGGAAAAGGTTTGCAGGGCGGGGAAGGGTTTACCCGGCGGGGAAAGGTTTATTGTCTGATTTTTTCTGTGTGGGCTTCCACATTCCTGCCTCCTGGTGGGCCTCCTGCC